TTCTAATTGTCTCTTTTTAACTTGCCCATTGAAATCCTTGCAGCTATCAACCTTGCGAGGAATCCAAAAAGCCAGCCCAGTTAGATTCTACATTAATGTAACAGAATCTAGCAAATCTGAAAGTACATTTCTTCCCCGTTGCCTTTACAGTCCAAGAAACTGGGGAGAATCCCTTCTGAGGTGTTTGCCATGCCCACATTCCTGCTGCAGGCTAAGCCAGTCTCTTATCTGGCCATTACTCTGGCTGGGGTTCTTATTCCAAGGTCATTCCCACACTCCATCCGCCCTGCAGGAAGCATTTCATTCCATTCTGTTCTCAGGCAATTATTGTACCACATATGTGGCAGTTAGAGTTTGCCCTTGTGTCCTGATCATGTGCTTAATGAGGTCTGCCTGTGTGATATATCCTCTTCTCTCTTTTGGGAGAAGAGGGAACGCCTGAGTTTCCTGCTCTCTGCAACAGCCATCAAACAAAAGAGGATGGTTCTGACTAAGATGGGCACATCTTTCCTTCTGCTGGAGACTGCAACTATTCCTCTGATATTTATTTGTGTTTCTAACATACATATCTATTTCTGTAGTCCTAGTGAAGTGAACCGCCATTTGCATCTTCCACTATTTTTCATGAGGTAGACAACACACCAATTTTTTTTTACTATTTCTAGTTTATTCCCCTTCTCCAGTTCTGAGTTCGTTCTTGTTCAGAATTGTATTTGAGTATAAGCCCATCCCTGCCTGTAACTCATCCTTAACGGGTCCTTCTGGAAAAACTTTTTAAAATTTTGGGAAAACAAAAGAGCAGAATGCTTGAGATACTTATTAAATCTCTCAAACTTTTACGTATGGACTCTGGGCCTGTTCCTTTGTTCTTGGCTTCGTCTGCCTGTTGGAAAAATATGCCATTCAAAGGCCTCAGCCTGAGAAAAGTTGTAGATTTGCTCTTGAATATTGTTTGTGGCTGATTTCAGGAAGATGGAGTTAAAATTTAGCTAAGCTTGTCTGTGTTTTCTCTCTAGCCTCTGAGAGCTAAAGAATCCTAAATAGAAGTAGCAGTGACCATTGTATCTGAAAATGACTTTCTTATCAGTACAAGAGAGATTGTCTTCTATTCTTGCTTTAATTTGAATGCAGAGAAAAACCAACTCCCTTCCTTCCTTCCTTCCCCCACATACATACACTATATATCTATATGTATATCTACAACTATCTGTCTGTCTGCCTGCCTGCCTATCTATCTATCTATCTATCTATCTATCTATCTATCTATCTATCTATCTATCTATCTATCTATCTATCTATCTATGTGTCTGTATATTGAACGGATAGGTGTATGTTTATATATATATATAAAACAATCACCACATTTTTGCTTTTTTCTGTGGTAACAGCTGTTGAATTTCATCTCAGAGGAGGATTGCAGGGCTCAGTAAAGTCCCTCCTGATTTCTCTGACATAATAATTAAAACCTTGACACTTCAAGTCTGCCTACATATCCAGAAATAAAACTTCCCATAATTAATTATGCTTATATAATATGATAGTCTTGTGGAATAGTTGCGGGACGTACATCCTGTCTTCAGGATTCCAAGGAAAAAACTGATGGACAGATTGCAATATATATCTCACCTTCACAGTAGATATTTCTCAGATGTTTGCTTCTTTTTTTAGCATGAATCAGTTTCCTTAAGAAGATACAGGGGCACAATGAAAATAAAAAATAGAAAGCAGAAAGCCTTAGTTTTTAAGAAATCTGCTTCAAAACAGCGGATGCTGTTTTGCAAATGTCAACATTAAAAAAATATTTTCCAGAATGTCAGAATAGTCTGTTTTAGATGCTTTTGATTTGACATTCTGATATATAGCTGTTCAGCCCCTCAAGCAAATCGTTTTTTAAATATCCCAACTCAGATCATATATATCTCATTCTGAAGTATTCATTCATGTTTCAAATGTCAGTCTAACGACATTTACTTTTATAGCTTTTAGCAGAATTTTAAAGAGGCTGGTATCACAGAAAAAAAATGTGTTAATTTGTAGGCAAAAAGTTACACAGCGCAATATAATTTAAAAGAAATACTGGAAAAGATGAAAAAATGCATTTTAGAACAGAGCATCCAGATGCAATATATAAAAAAACATACATTAATATAGTAATCACAGTCTAATAAATGTGGAATATTACATGGGTTGTCTTTAAAATGTTTTGAAGACATTTTAAGCCATTTCTGTCTTCAGTACAAAGACATTTTAAGCCATAAACTGTCTTCAGCCAGTTTATCAATCATCTAGAAAAGACTAATACTTTTGGAAAAGCATGTATGATTTGCCACTTTTAAAACCAGAAATAGCTTGTTTTCCCTATACAATTTTCCCCCAAACTAAAAGAGAATGCAAATAACTAATACATTCATGCCTTAGGTGACTGTCCCTTGCCTACAACTAAATGAAGAGATGAAAAGTGTTATGGAACCTGGGGGGTGGCTGGTGACATGAGGGTATGCCTTTCACTTTTTTAAATTTGTATTTAATTTTAACTTAGTTTTAACTTTCTTGTGTTTAAGCTTTTGTACCACTCTTTAACTTTTTATTGTAACCCGCACAGAGCCTCTTACAGTAGTTGAGATAGGCAGTGTAAAAATGTGATAAATAAAGAAATGAAAGAAAACTCTACAGCTAAGGCTGTATCATGCTGTTTATTTATATTATAGAAAAACTGGGAGAATAAAATGAGCGCATTGTATACAACAGTTGAATTTGTTACTGGAAGAATAAGATACAACTTAACTATATGATAAAATCAAAGAGGCATTGATTTAATGTTTCAGAGAAGGCAAGATAACATTGGATTTGTGTTTTTCCATTGCTTCCTATCCACTTTGAATTATGGATCTCCTTGACTTTATGTATAGACTATTAAAGAAATCTACATTGTTTGGTGAAATATTCTGGATTAATGCATAATACAGTTATGATATTATTAAAGTAATTCATTTTTTACAAAAAAAAATAAAAAATACTCATTAAACCTTTGCAGTAGCAAAAGAAAACGCATCAAGTTAATTGTGCCCAGCTAGATAGCTACACTTAGCCATATTTGACTAATTTTGAAACACACAGAAGAATCAGGCATGGTTAATACTTGGGGTGAAAAATCACCAGACAATATTAGTTATCTAAATTGGACTGGATAGTTTTTAAAAAATCCAGAGAAAATGAAATGCATTTCCATATCCTTGCATCATAGACATACAGCTTCATCTGCTTTACACTTTACATTTTTTTCCTCTTAAATTATTTCTCCTTTCCTTTGCTTTTCATACATTGTGTAAAACTTAATAACTGCCTTTTTTTTTCTAGGGTCTCTGCTAATAGATTAATAATCACTTCTGCTATATTTTCCTCTTTATCTTCAGGTATGTTCTGGAATCTCAATTAGTGTACCGCCTTCTCCATTTCCAAAGCAGTGACCGCTCTTTCTAGGTTTTGATTTGCTTATTCTAATCTTTCATTCTCTGTCATTAGTGTTTCAATTTTTTTCCCCAGTATCTTCTGATTGATCTTCCACCTTCTGAATTCTTTGTTCATTTTTAAGGATCATTTAAGGTGAACCTCAAATTGTGTCTTTATGTCAAGCATTAGTTCGTTTAGCTTATCAGGATTGCTTTTTGATTCTTGATGATTCTTCTGCATCATTTCTTGCATTAATTGTAAAGTCACGTGTATCTCTTACTAGGTATACTAGGTATAATGCCAGAAAAACTTGATAAGCAAAGTACATATTTGATTCTACATGTGATAACAGCGGCAAGAATTATATTTGCACAATATTGGAAGAATGAAGAAATACCACCAGAAGAAGAAATAATCAAAAAAATATTAGACTGTGCAGACTTACTTTAAGGTTGAAAGAAAAAGAAGAAACAATATTTTCAAACTTGAGACCTATTTTATCAATGGTTAGAGAAAAGATTTAGGGATTAGGAATATAATTTGTATTAGTGAATAAGATACTTAGACAACATGTTTTTGTTGAATAATTATTATTGAACTCTGTTAAATAATAATAATAATTTAAAAAAATGTTAATAAAAAATAACTGCCTTAATTTTAGAATGTCAGAACTGGTGTTTTCTTTGGGAATGCAAGCAAACAGAGGGCATCTAGGATACAAAGAGCAATGATTATTTTTTATTTTATTTTTTTAATTATTATTGTTGTAATTATTATTGTTGTTGTTATTGTTGATGACGATTTAATCTTCAATTCGATTCACAGTCTGGAACTGGTAAAAACTTATCAGTTCAAGTCCTAACCAAAGACCTAAGAGCTATTAAGGTAGCGTCTGAGTATATAGCCAATTCGGAGTAGAGTGGTTTTTTGCAACGTCAGGATATTCAGGTCTAATAAGTTCAAAATTCCCATGTATCTGGGCAGCCCTTTGGGTATTGCTCCAAAGGTTCCTATTACTATTGGTACAACAATTGATTTCTTCCTCCATAGTCACTCAACTTCAGTTTGCAAATCACAATATTCTTATTTTTTTTCTAGCTGTTTCTATTAAAAAAATAATTATTATTATTATTATTATTATTATTATTATTATTATTATTATTATTATTATTATTATTTTATTTATTATTATATCTGTTTCTAATAATAATATCATTATTATTAATATTATTATTATTTACTATGAGTCATGTTTAAATGTCCGAACTGTAAAAAAAGACAAAGAGTATAAAATGACTTAAGCATTTTTAATTCAGCATACCCACAGATACTTTAATATATCCATAGAATCACATAGTGACAATTGTTCTTGCATGCCAGATGAAAGCTTATCAAAAGAATTGTAGAAGGAAAACGCATTAGTTTTTCTGGGGCACAGAAATGTGTTTCATAGATAAGCAAATGATGTTAAGGGAAGACGATGCTTATTTTTTTTTTAAATGATTCATTTAATTTGTACAGAACATTTTTTTTTCTTTTACCATTTACAGGAACAAGCATATTTACTGTTTATGAAGCTGCATCTCAGGAAGGTTGGGTCTTTCTGATGTATCGAGCAATTGACAGTTTTCCCCGATGGCGCTCTTATTTCTATTTCATCACCTTAATTTTCTTCCTTGCCTGGCTTGTTAAGGTACATAAATAAGAACCTTATAAAAACGGTAACAAGGGGAGACAGAAGAGAGATTCATATTAGAAATCAAGCTGAATAATGACATAAAGGATGCTCTGGCATGAATACAGGTGTGTGTGTGTATTGGCCGAACTACTATCCTGAAAGTTAATGGAGGGAGAGCATTGATTAATTATATACATTATTTTGAGACAGTTATTATCCTGAAAGCTAGGATAATATCTTGCTTATAAGATAGACACTCTCAAAAGTATATTGGTAATATTAGCAACTAGCTGTACCCGGCCACGCGTTGCTGTGGCTCAGTCTCAATGCGCCATTGTGCATTCATCCCAAACAATAAGTTTGCATTTCTGCAATACTTTTCTCATGCCGGATGCTTTGGAAATGTTGCACATGGGAGTTTCAATGAATTGCATGTTCAATGGCAATTTCAAAGCGTCCAACAGATGGTGCTGTTTTTCAAAAAAAGCATGTTTTTTCCTGTCACAGGTGTGACATCTATATAATATAGGTATATAAAAACACGCGCGTATTCGAATGCAACGTTGTGTTAAAATTTCAAAGCAATCGGTGAAGAACTTTCGGAGATTTAAGATTTTGAACAAATGAACATTTACATTTTTATTTATATAGATAGACATATAGACATATACTGTAGATTGTACTCACTATACTAGGCCAGGCATGTCAAACTGCCGGCCTGCGGGCCAGATGCGTCACTCCAAAACCGCACCCACCCCATTGCCAGCAATGTGAAAAAAGTTGAGATACATTGCGCAACATCACGTGATGTCGCGAGTTTGACATGCCTGTACTAGGCCATCACTGGAAGAATGTAAATGGTCCAGAAGAATAATGTGTTTAAATGTTTTCCAGGAGCTTTCCCAGGTCTTAAGTGGGAAATCAAATTGTTTACTTCAATTGCCATCACTGCTAGATTACTCTTTGGCAATCTTTCTGTATCCAGTTCAAGGCTTTTAGAATTTCTACAATCTCCAGAATGTCAGTAGAATATATAGTATTTTACTGATCCGGTGGAATACAGATATGTACTTGGCATATGGCCATATTGTAGAAGGACTGCAATTGAGTTCTTTATCCTGGCTACCTGGGTAACACATGCTATAGCATCTTTTCTCCTGCATTGAAGTAGTTGTTCAAACTGCCTTTTTAATCTGAGAATGTTCCATGCAGTCATTTTTCTTGCATTCACTTTCTAAGCTTTGTAATTGTCATTTTTTTCCCCATTCTGCCACATTCAAACTACCATTTGGAATGATGCCAATGTAAATGTGGGTTGCCAGTGCTTGCATAAGTTAAATATTGCTTTAATTCCTGAATTATCTTATAATAATTCTCTATGAAAGAGGGAGAGGGCTCTTCAAAGAGACCAGGAAAACGTTAACACTGGAATATTCTGTGGCAAGATATTGTTATTTTATCCAAGCTGTAATGTCTTTTCATAGGGATAGTTTGGAATTGATAGGAGACTTTAATATGAAGGTGATAATCAAATGATTCTAAATACACAAAAATTAAGAAATAATCTTTATTGAATGGAGAATTTTATAGAGACAATTTTATGAGCTATTGCACTTATTTTGGCCCCTAACCAATAGGTCAGTTCTGCAAAGTAATCCTTTATATGATATCTGTCCATATACCTATTAACCATAAAAGCTAATCAAAAACACTATATAATTCTCAACATCCAAAAATCATGTGAAGAGAAATACATCTGCTTCATAATTAGGTACACAACACTGATTGCATGTGTATGGATGCCCCAAAATACACAAGCCTGACAAAGCTCTCTGTCCAATTGTATCATTACCAGGGACCCCTGCCTACAACATTGCAAAAGAATTACGTAACAAAAAAGCTTGGGTACCTCACAAGTGGAAGCAAACACTCCATCAACGCCCCACTACAGTGCCTTCAAACATTCAGAGACATGACCATAGAAGAGGATGAAATCATGGTCTCATTTGAAGTCATAGCCCTTTTCATTTCCATACAGTAGATCTGGAATTAGCCAAAGAATCTATGACCACATTGCTCCCCAGCACATCTGATTTAACCAAATACACAAAGCTTGGAACATCCAGGATTGTGGATCTCATAAACCTATGCCTAACCACATACTTCCAATTTGGTGGACAAACTTAGCAACAAACTAAAGGTACACCTATGAGATCACCACTTTCAGGACGTATAGGTCCTTTCAGGTCATTATGCAAAATCTGGATGCCATAGCACTTCCACAAATAACAACCCAAAATATGGATCAGATGTGTAGATAACATCATAATAAAAAAGGACTAATTAGAGAACACCCACAAAACCATCAACAACATTTTCAAAGGAATCCAGTTTACTAGAGAAGAAGAAGAAGAAAAACAACTAACTACCCTTCCTGGACGTCCTGATCAGCAGAGATCATTATGTGGCAAATTGAAAAAGCAAGTGTACCGAAAAATCAACCACATCAAGCAAGTGCTTCACTATCAAAGTAATAATCCTTGGCAATTCTATGGGCCAGGCCTCTCCACATCTTCTGATCTTGCACTATTTCTTTGAGTTTTTCTATGCTCTGACTAGTGTCAGCTTTGATGGTGTCCAGTCACCATGTTCCTTGACCGCCTGGTTTTCTTTTACTGCTAATTCTTCCAAACATAATTGCTTTCTTCAGTGAATTCCCTGCATGACATGGCCAAAGTAAATGAGACACAGTTTTGCGTGCCTGGTGTTATGCGCTCCAGTACTTCCTTGTTACTAACCTTTGCTGTCAAAGGAATACACAGGAGCCACCTCCAGCACCACAGCTAAATAAGTTAACCCAATCAAGGAACTGCCAAACAAGCTACCGGTAACAATAAAGAGCCCAACCAAAGAGCTTTCAAGACTACTCCCATCAACACTGATAGAGCAAGCCACTAGAATATAAATTGAGAACAAACCCTTACTAGCCCTGATGATGTTACCTAGTTTCGCTAATGAAAGGTCTGCAAGAAAAAAAAACAAGCTCAGAGAGCACCATTTGTTATATGTTCCCAACCTCTTAATTATCATTGAAGATGCTGCTATCATTGATGCACTGCTCTCAGTCAAGGTGGACTGTTTGAAGTGTCAGTTGATGGTGCTGAAAAATCAAATTAATCCATTTTTTTTCTATTCTTAGACTTGTACTTGTCCAACTGGCCTCGTTCCAGTTTCTTATTAACTTCCATTGAACTATCCAGTTCTTGAACCAACCCCACCCAGGCTCTGTATTCTTACATATCAAAATAGGTTCTACATTTAGGCAAGAAAAAACAAATGTACAGGTATAGTATAGGGGCTACCTTGCTCAATAGTAGTAACTGTGAGAGGGACCTTGGAGTCCTAGTGGACAATCACTTAAATATGAGCCAGCAGTGTGCTGCAGCTGCCCAAAAGGCCAACATAGTGCTAGGCTGCATTAACAGAGGGATAGAATCAAGATCACATGAAGTATTAATACCACTTTACAATGCCTTGGTAAGGCCACACTTGGAATAATGCATCCGGTTTTGGTCACCACGATGTAAAAAAGATGTTGAGACTCTAGAAAGAGTACAGAGAAGAGCAACAAAGATGATCAGGGGACTGGAGACTAAAACATAAAAGGAACGGTTGCTGGAATTGGGTATGTCTAGTTTAACAAAGATAAGGACGAGGGGGGACATGATAGCATTGTTCCAATATCTCAGGGGCTGCCACAAAGAAGAGGGAGTCAAGCTATTTTCCAAGGCGCCTGAAGGCAGGACAAGAAGCAATGGATGGAAACTAATCAAGAAGAGAAGCAACCTAGAACTAAGGAGAAACTTCCTGACAGTTAGAATAATTAACCAGTGGAACAACCTGCCTCCAGAAGTGGTGAATGCTCCAACACTGGAAGGTTTTAAGAAGAGATTGGACAGCCATTTGTCTGAAATGGTATAGGGTTACCTGCCTGAGCAGGGGGTTGGACTAGATGACCTCCAAGGTCCCTTCCAACTTTATTATTATTATTGTTGTTATTTATTTATTTATTTATTTATTTTCCTTCTTTGCTAGTATGAACTTTTTAATTGATACTGTTGTACCTGCGATTAACATTGCTTTTAATCTTTTAAGTCTTTGGAGAATCTTTTTCAACTTGGAAAAGAATTTAAAACGGAGTTAGGGAGTGTTTTTACACCATCTACTTCTTCTGTGACATTTTCTGCTTCTATTTCCTTCAGCTCTTCCCTCTCCTCTCTTCCCAATCATCCTTGGGAGGTTTACTGTATTAGCATTTGACCTTGTGAATGACATAGGCAGCATCTTATCTCAGACTAGGCATATTCTCTCACATAAACCATAATTTTCTTCCCAAGCTTTAATAGGGGATGAATATGTTCTTCATCAAAAACCCAGAGAGAGACCATTTGAAATCTCCTAAAAAATTCTTTTATTCTGATAATCATCAATAGCAAAATGGAACGTTTAAAATCCAGTACAACTCTCTTATATTCACGGTAGCTGTAAAGCCAGGAGATAACTTTCAAGTCGCTATCATAAACCTGGCAGTGTAAGTTAGATAAGGGGCCACATTATTACTCATCCTTTGTACCACCTTACCTATGCATGTCATTTTCAACTATCAACTAGGTTGTAGTGTGCACTATATCCAGGTAATTGTAAACCCATCTGAGAAAATGAAATGCCTGCTCTGAAGCAGAAAATCACTTAGGGGCAGATTTTTCTCCATTTTTTATTATAGGCTGCTCTGCCTTTTCATTCTCCTTAGCAATTACATTTCCTCAGCCCAATTTATTATTATAGCAATAAAGTTTTTAGTTCTTTTCATTTGACTTCTCTTTTTAAGCTTCCTAGCCTTTAGCTACTCTACAAAAATGAATTCCTGAGAACATATCAACTATTTTTCAAGGGAGAATATTAACTCATCCATTTTACTATAATTTGTTTGTTTATTTAGTCACCCATTTGATGAAAAGTGACTCTGGGTGGTGTACAGCACTCCAATAAAACAAATCAAAATAAATCAAATAACACTCTTAGCAGTAATTAATTGGTCAGAAATTTCAATCAACAAAAGTCAAGCCACGATTATTAAAAGCTAGAAAAGGGCTATTATTTATCTGCACTCATCTTGCTTCCAGTTGTTCCCCAACTTCCAACCAAGAAAGCTCTTCACTTTCCCNCCCTCCCTCCATCTCTCTCTCCCTACCTTCCTTTTAGTTTTTCTAGAACTTCTATTATTATTCTACCATTCTGACCTATTTCAGTGCCTCTTCTTGGGTTTGATTTTGCTTAATATTATTTTCTTTTCTTGTGTTGATGCTATTCATATTCTTCATCTTCATTCCAGTGGAAAACAGTGTATTGTTGTAGTGAAAATAAATAGCAGTAGCAATTAGGAATAGCACTTTGACTTATATACCGCTTTACAATGCTTTATAGCAGAGGTCCCCAACCTATGGGCCGCAGCCCACCACCGGGTTGTGACCTCTTGGCCGCTGGGCCATGTGAGAAGCTGGGCAGTGCACATGTGTGTGTGTGTGCTCAGCCCCCCCCCTCGTGCCACTGTTGCTGCAAGTGTGCTGGCGGCAGCAGTGCCGCTAGTATTGTGTGGACGGTGGCAGCACCACAAGCGGCAGGTGGGCCGCAGCGTGATCTTCGCACGACGCGATCCTCGCATCGGGGGCAGCATCGCACTGCAGGACGCAGTGCAAGCCTCATGCAGGGGCAGCGGTGCAAGCCTCGTGCCGGGGGCGGCATCACTGCGGGCTGCAGCACGAGCCTCACACCAGGACAGTATTGCTGCAGGCTGCTGTGCGAGCCTTGCACTGTTGGTAGCATCACTGCAAGCCTGGAGGCGGTGGTGCCACAAGCCTCTCACAGGCGCCACCATCGCTGAGAGCCTTGCGTGCATGCTCGCAGCCCCATTTGTGTGGTGAACATGCTCGCAGACTGTACATGCACGTGCACGTGTGGCCACATTCATGTTTGCCATGTGCACGTAAGGCGCCTGCCCCTCCCTTTCCACCAGGCCACCAAAACAAAAAGTTTGGAGACCCCTGCTTTACAGCCCTCTGTAAGCGGTTTTTACAGAGTCAGCATATTGCCCCCACCAATCTGGGTCCTCATTTTACCGACCTCGGAAGGATGGAAGGCTGAGTCAACCTTGAGCCAGTGAGAATTGCACTGCCAAACTGCTGCTACCAAAAAAGAAGGGGGCAACAGAGAAAGCAGAATAGCAAGTAGCACAATAAATATTATTTATAATTTAAAAACAAAAGAGATTCTCCTAGGCACCTAGAGTAATGACCTTGTTGAATGCTGTTGTGGGCTGAGTCCAATTAAGCAGGCTTTGAAAATAGTCTTTTTCTGCCTCCTTACATATATGTACTTTCTTTTATAGAATGTATTTATTGCTGTCATCATTGAAACATTTGCTGAAATCCGTGTGCAGTTTCAACAGATGTGGGGTTCCAGAAGCAGTACAACTTCAACAGCAACTACTCAGGTAAACATGGCTAAATGTTTAAATGCATAAATAGATCTATGTGGTAAACATTAGCTTTTATTTGTCTAAAGCTACTAATAGTACATATGTAATTTGTCAAGTCCAGAAATGGTTTGCCTTTCTTATTTATAATAATATGGGATTTAATTTCTGTGGGTTTGGTTGAGGAATGGATGGTTCTTGGGAAGTGTCCTTTGATTGGTGGTCTAACCTAATGTTAATTCTGTCCTGATTATCAGTGTGTTGTGAATGGTTTGGATCAATGGTGGGATTCAGCCAGTTTGCACCAGTTCAGTAGAACTGGTAGCTAATTTTTGGTTGCCCAGGCCCAGAATGGACTTCTGGAAGTGGCATCCACACAAAGAACCTGTTGTTCACATATTTGAATCCCACCACTGGTTTGGATCATATATCTTGGTAATAAATCATGTCTTGTTCTCTTATTGGCACTTTCAGGAATTATCTGGCTCCAATAAAGGAGAATATTTGTAGCTCAGGGTTGAAATGAGGGGTCCTTGGTGTTCTCTGAGCTTGGTTGTTTTCTTGCAGACGTTTCATTACCAAACTGGGTAACATCATCAGTACTAGTAAGGAATGGGTTTTGAAATCTCATTCAATTATCTGGCCCTTCTGCAATTTATTTGGTCAATTTTTCTTCTATTTTCCCACTCAAACGTGTGGTTCATTTTTAGAGGGTAAATAGCTAAAGGGTATTTCTGGTGTTTGTTCTTTGTTGCAGTTCTGTGTACCTTCATCTTTGCTGTAATTGATGTCCTGTTTGTCTAGTGTAGTGTTGGCTGCAATCTTGCAGTTGACTCGGTATATCATATTCTTTCTTTCTTAGTGAGGTATATAATCTTTTGGTTTTCACGGGATTTGGGGGTGGTGGTGGTTTTGTTTTGCTTTTTTGGTGATGTTTTTGTGGGTTTGTGGGTAGGTTATAGTCATTTTCATATCATATCTTCCCTATTAATTGACTTTCACATATTGTATAGCCTATATTTTATCATGTAGACTTTATTTCAAACATTATGTACTGGACAACCATTTGTCTGAAATGGTATAGAATAGGGGTCTTCAAACTCAGCCCTTTTATGACTCATGGACTTCAACTCCCAGAATTCTTCAGCCAGCATGCCTGGCTAAGGAATTCTGGGAGTTGAAGTCCATGAGTCATAAAAGGGCCGAGTTTGAAGATCTCTGGTATAGAATTTCCTGCCTGAGCAGGGGGTTGGACTAGAAGACCTCCAAGGTCCCTCCCAACTCTATTATTATTATTATTGTTGTTGTTGTTGTTATCCTACAAATTCTTTTAATTAAGTTGCAGTGTGTAATTTATCTTGTCATGGGTAGTAATCATACAATAGCTAATAATTCATAATTCAGTGGATAACCCTTAACATTTATATAGATTTATTTATTTATTTGAATTATTTCTATTCCCCTCTCAGGCTAACAAGCCTTACAAGCAATATCAACATTTGAGTCACCCGGAGTTGTGTTTTTAGATGGGCAGCCATACAAATCTTTTAAATTAAATAAATAAGGATTTATAAATTTAAAAAAAACTAGATTACTTCAAAAGCAATGAACTTCTAGGATCCTTCCCATGGAGTAGAAAGAATAGTTATGAAAAAGGCCTGAGTCAACCTGCCTCCTCATTCTGGCACTTTTCCAACAGAATAGTTGGTTTTAAGGCCTATGAGAGGAGGCAAATTAGAGAAGGAAGGAGACATTTTTTTAGCCAGCTTAGCATAGTTCTGTCCCCAGAGAGGAGAATAAGCAAGGAAACATGGCTTATCTAAAGCCGTGACATTATTTCTTAGTCACTCTATGTTTCGTTGTAGTACATTACTGCAAAAAATGCATTTTTAGTATTCTGTAATATCTATGTTCTATTGCCAAACATGACAATTTTATGTATATTTGTACAGTTTTCTGCATAGAAGAATTTCACATGCAGGAAATTGAACTGGTTCCTGTTTGTAGATCCTATGTTCAGCACCAGCTATAAAATCTGTAACTCAAAATCAGTGACCATTCAAGGACAAAGGCAGCGGAATAATATAGTATGAAATCAATGGAGTTTGCCCTGCATTCTCTGTAATAACAAGAGATTTCTTACAAGAAAAGAATGCAATGTAGAGAAAAAGATGGTCACAAAATAAACATCACCAGTTTTGTTTGTAGATCTGAGCATATAAATAGATTCTGACAAGTGTTTTCCCCCTCCAGATGTTTCATGAAGATGCTACAGGAGGATGGCAGCTGGTGGATGTTGATGTGAATAAGCCTCAAGGCAGAGCACCAGCATGTCTGCAGGTACATTGCTTTTTAAATAAAGCTATCAAAGTAGCAAACCAAGTGGGGATCTTGCTGTTGGAAATTGACAGTAAATTAAAATTCCCCATAGCCACGGTTTAAATTTAGAAATTGGTCTAAGTTTAATGTATATTCATCTGGATTTTTGAGCTTGGGGTTGTTGTTTTGGTTTTTTTTTGCATACTATAAACAAATTCTTTTCCTTTCTCTGAATCTGTCTCCAAGTTTCCATAGAGATCTCTGTCCAATTTTTGCTACGTTAGATATATAGATATAATTACGATTGGTATGTTAGAGGAAAATCAGTTTCTTAAAATGTAGTTGATTTAGGGTGTATGCCTTCTCCTGTTCTGAAAACAATAGAAAGGATAACAAAGATTGTACTGCTATTATACAACATATGAACAGAAGATGCCCATTTTAGAAGTATCTTGCCATTGTGGAATATATGAAATAAAAAATATAAAGAAGAAAACAGAAAGAATTATAAATCATCTAAGTATGGAGACTAGAACTCGAGGTAGGTATAATCATCTAGATTCTTGGGAATGCATTGTGAGTTTTTGCCTTCATCTGGAAGATGTCATGTGCAATTCTCTCACACTGCCTCAGCTCTGATGTACTTCTTACAATATGTGAATTGTGGAGACTTAGGTCTAGCTAAAAGCTAAGGTAAACTTGAGTATACTGGTCTAAATGAACAATGAGAAGAGTAACACCCCAAAAGTTCAACATAAATTCAACTACAAGAATGTCAAATTCATGGATTAGCATGTGCTAGAGCTGGTCTCAAATTGAGTGCCTTCTTGTAATTCCTTACCTATCTCGGTGGACCTTTGGGATCATACATTGATTTATGATAGTAATAAAATATTTTGTTTTCATTTAGTAACATAGATGAAGCTGCTGCTGGATGCAGTAATAATCTTTGGACACAGATATCTGTCAGCTTCATGAAAGTGCAATATGTATTTATTATTTTTAAACTGTTCCTTCTCCTTTTTTTATATCTAGATTTTAAAAAATCAATTGGTTTTCTTCACAATTTATATATCTAGCCCATACCCTGTTAAACTTGTTAAAAATTAAACTACCTCCCCTCATATATTCTTTCTATGTGATATTCTCTGTTTTTATTATTCAGTCACTTCTAACTTTTTATGACCCAATAAATGACATCTTGCGATGTTTTACTCCTTCATCTGCCAGTTCTGTCTGTCATAACTCTTTCGCTGAGTTCTTATAATACTATTCGCTTTCTTCTTTCTTAAGTTATAAATTAACAACAAGTTCACGATCTATGCCTCTGTCAGTATCAGATCTTAATTTGTTGGCTGCAACAGAGTTCTTCCAGCGTTTATTGCAAAATAAATAGTTAGGTTTATACTGATGCCTATTTGGTGAAGTCCACTTAGACGCATGTATAAACACATCTAAAAGACACATGTATGTCTTTTAGATTGCTGGAGAAAAATATTTACATTATTTTCTACAATATATGGCAAATGCAATTTATTTATTTTTAGTGCAGCCAGTTCTGTAGTGTTTTTACACAACTTTCCCAAGTCTGAGCTAACGTGGTATATTATTTGATACATTATCATACATTATGACACTGTAATGTGAAAGAACTGCATGACAGATTTTTGTTATACCTCTACTTCAGAACATTTTTAATACTAAAAGAATAGATCCAAATTGAGTTAAAATGGCAGATTTCCTTGAGGGATGCTGGGTTGGAAGTGCTGTAAAAAATTCAGCCTGGCAGTCATGCAGATTACATCAGAACAGCTGTTAAAATAAGTGTGTACGATCAGTGTCACATCTAGAATCAGTACTTATAGAATGCATTTCAATGAATGGCAGAAAGGAAGAGAAATTGCTGTTAATATTTTCATTAGTCCTTTGCTGGCTACATTACATAAATACATATGTAATTTGTATTTGTATTTTATTTTGCCTCAATTTGATATAAAAAGACTATAGAAAATGAGTATAGGCTTATCTTAAATCATGAATAATGCATGCCCAGAATTTTATATTTTACTTTCTTTAGCCAACCCTTATAAAAACATTAATCAAAGGTAAGCATCATGTACCTGAAGAGAATATTTCTGAAAAGAAAGGTATGTCTCGCTTCACAGATGGATAGGAAAAGATGCTTAATGAAACCATAGTATTTCAAAGCACAAACCCAGCAGAACTATAGTAATCAAATTACCAGTTATATGTCTTCCAGGAAATAGCTTTGATAATACTTGGTTTTGTTCTGCGTTAGATGTTCAAGTGAAATCAGTAGGGGGAAAGCCTTGACCAATAAAAATGCAATGTCTATTTTGCCTGAGAACTCCATAATAGAAAATGTAGCTGGAATAAAGAACTCATATTCAATATTGACAGAGGGAAGTTTCATGTCAAAAATGGCAGATGATGAGGGACCGTACTCTAAGCCAGTCCCAAAGGTGCTTTTTCCAAAAGGCAATTGGACTTTCTTGCTTTAAAAAAAAACATGATTTTTTTTTTCTTTGTCTTTCTTTTTGCTCATTTTCACTCCAGATATCAGAAACTGCACTCTCTTTGCTTTGGGGCAGCCAGATAGCTCTCAGCACTCCCTCCCCCCCCCCTCCTTCAAACAAACCATGTTAAATCTGACTGTTACAAGACTTAGGCAACCTACATTAGCAGTATAAAAAGAAAAAAAATGTAACCATGCATAGACTGGCATTCATTTTTCTGCTTGACCTTCAGGCAGGTTATCATGAAACTGAAATAAATGTAGATTAGCCTGTTCTTTTAAAAAGAATACAAGTCCTCAATTTCACTTTCCCACCAGTTAACACAGCTATATAACAAAGAAAAAAATGCCAGAATGTTGGGGAGGGATAGAGAGACAGATGGATGGATGATTTTTTATAAATTGACTGACTGGTGATTTTCATCAGGAACTGTTAGCTGTCTTTCTCTTGATGAAAAACAAGGCTAGAATATTCTCTGACTAGAATATTAGAAACATCTCAAGTGTTGTTCTTCTGGATACAGAAGATTCTAGGTCTGTTGTTCCATTGGAACACCACTAACTTGGAACATTTCAGTGAAACTTTCCACCTGGGGTTTCCTGTTTTTAATTTCTTGTTTTTTAGAAGATACATTTTTCATTTTCTGAACCTATCTCATCCTAATTGATTGATTGATTTTAGCATATGGCATATCATACATGGACTTGCAATATATATTAACATTTCACCTAGATTTTTTTAAAAAACACAATAAAATGTGAATGTTAAAAGGATCGCTATTCAGATACCAAAGTCGAGGCCATCTATTGAAGCACAGCATTGTTTATTTGGGGAAAAAATCAGATACCGGATCGGTATATGCCCTCAGCTTACAGGGGGTCATGATGTGATCCCACAGTCACCCTGAGGAGAGAATACTGTGTCCCATTTATACAATGAATCCCAACAGATGCATGTGAGTGCAAATTCTATCTCACCTTGAGTTTTTTCTTTGAATAAATGGACATTATGACTTATATACCCCTAGTTTAATGCCATGGATAAGGTTGTGTATGAGAAGAACAAGCTGAATTGCAAGTCAGAGTTAAATGTATCATCGGTTTAGAGTCATTACAACAGACCCAGGTCCAGTTTCCTGTGAATTCTGTTGGCCCTTCTGTAGTGTCAATTTAGCTTTGACCATTAGTTGACTAGATTTCTGTGCATTAGTAGCAATAATAAACTCTTCTGTGCTTTGAACTCAATGAATGCTCCTGATTGTTTTACAGGTTGGCATATTTCATTCTGAAGAACTGAACCCAGTTAAAAATTGC